ATGCCTGATGGCACCAAACGAAGTTCTACCGAATTGTACCCGAAATTAGTCTTTCCTGGACCGCTTACTCTGTAACCACTTCAGGTGTGTGAGGCTGGCAGACAGTTTCACCCTACTTCCTCTGCTCTGCCGCTTACTCGAGGTTTCCTTTCTTATCTTTCTCGAGTTATTGGCATAAATTGAATGATGAAATGATTTTTCAGTAGATCTATATCGGCGTCATTGTATCGTGTGAATTGCGGCGCCTATAAACTCCTCTGCTGGCCCCAATCCCCCAGACAAGGTCATTAGGCCTTTGTGGAAGTGTGGATTTACCCATTTTGCTGCCTGGAAAATTGAGTTAGCAAGTGGCTTAATAGGGAAAAATGTTTTGTATCGATTGCTCTTCACCCCATGAAAGGATGCTACATACGTGGCATTGTCGCCATGCCGATTGAGTATGCCTACAGCCTTTTGGCTTATCCAATCCCCGGGGGTGAAGTCGGCTTAGGCATCGGTTGTTCGGGAGCTGGGCCGAATGTGAGGGCTAATTAGGTTGAGTCTGGTGACTGACATAGACAGTGACTGTCTGCCTGCCTACGGTGATCTCAAGTGGGCGAATCGGCTGGCTCGAGGGATTCCGGTCTTCCTATCTCCACGGCCTGACAGACTCGATGTAGCCCGGTCGGATGGGTGCTTTAGGTCAGGAGGCGAGCTCGGAAACGTGTCTCAACTGGCGGCCAAGCCCCCGATACAAATGGGCATATGGCATGCGAGCCGACTCCAAAGCTCTCTCCAGCGGCTTTGAGACAATCTGACTTTTCGCCAGTTTCCAAATTGCTATCAACAGGGTTGAACTGGGGCGAAATTGCGATGAGAGTTCTATCGTGTTTGGTTCTGGCTCAAGCTTGGGACGTAGCCATAAGACGAACTTAACGAAGACAAGCAGACTTACCTGAAGCGGTTGAGTGCACTGCAAAGGGCTCATTTAAGTGTACGAAGAAAAGTTGTGTTTCGAGGAATCTCTTGTCTCACAATTGTTGAGCTTACTTCCATTTCGAGTGCAAGTGTTGGGTGAAGAGATTCGAAGGTCGTTTCCACCAGAAGACGACGGCCTAATTCTCTTGACCAGCTGTCGATTGGCTTTACTGGAGGATTTATGTTGACGCTGCTTCCGAGGAAATCTCCTTCGTTTTAGCACGTTTTCACTGGAATCGAAGCAGATTGCCTCGGAAACAGCGTCATCGGTCTTCGTCTTCTGGTGGAACCGACATTCGAACCTTTTCACCCAACACTTCCTCTCGAAATGGAAGTAGGCTCATTTAGGTATCCCATAAAGGCTTCAGCGATGATGAATCAGGCAATTATATGGGCCCAAGCGTCTTTAAGTTGAACGAGCCTTCAACCAACCTCTTCTCGACATCGTATGATGGAGCGGGTGCTCTCACACTCGTCCATCCCCCATAGACGAGTGTTCTACCAATTGCATAAAAGACAAGTGAAGTCTCAGTAACACTTTGTGACCAAAGTGCTCCTTTTGCTTAACAATGTTACAATTACAATTTATGAAGACATCCCCCGTAATATATTGTGATATGACTTTCCGGAAATCGAGGGAGGATTGTCGTGGAGTGAAGACTGTTGGATTGTGCTAACTTTTCGTCTGTCCCGTGATGATAGGCATCATCATCAGAAGAATCCATACCTTACAAAATAGCACAGAAATATAC